CTCTCACTCTCACTCTCACTCTCACTCTCTCTCTCGAACTAGTCCATTTGTAGAGTCGCTCACAGGAGCGCAGGCCAGGCTGCAGCCATAACTCATGGACCCCCACCTCCAAGTCCAAGTGGGGAAGGCAGGAGGCAGGTCAGCACCCGACCTTTTGAAGTGTAGTCTTCCGCATAGCACTTCATGCAATGTCTGGGTGCCTCCTAGAAATGCGGGTCTTGGACCTTTACCCTGGAGCTTAGAATTCAGATAAACGTTCGTTTTTTGAGGCAGGCTCTCACCTCAGCTGGCCTGGTACTGATAGACTAGGCTACCCTCGAAGGTGTGCACCATTATGACTGGGCAGAATATGCATTTCAACTAAGATCCCTGGGTGAGTCCTAGAAACACTGAAGTTGGACATAGCAAAGCTACTGTGCAGCAGGCTTTACTATGGAAGCTGTAATACTAGAGCCATAGGCCTTCCCCAAGTCAATCGAGACAGCCTGACAAATTGGCCTCAGGGCTCCTAAGGCCTGGCCACACCCCACATTCTCTAGGTACTTGTCCAGCCTTATCTCCATAGAAACAGTTCTGATTTTTTTCTTTTTCTTCCTAAGCCAGTTGGAGCTGGGTTTGTCATTTATAGTTGGAAGAGAGCTATCAGGTCTACTTTTGGCTTCCAACTGTTCAGAGACGATGATTGTAATACATTCCTATCGAGGGGCTGGGAGATGATTCAGCAGTTGAGTGCTGGCTGCCCTTCCGAGGATCCGGGTTCTCAGCACCTATAGGATGGCTCCCGACCATGTCCAATTCCAGTTGCAGGTGCTTTAACAACCTCTTCTGATTACCCAGGGCACTAGGCACCACGTGGTGCTCAGACACACACCTAGGCAAAACATGAGAGGGAAAAAAAATCCCTTCATATCAAACCAATATGGTCTTTCAAGTAGAAAGTATACACAGAAGTAAACTAAACATAGTTTTGTGTAGAGCCAGATCTGTAGCGTCAGTGCGGCTGTTTAACTTTGCAGGAGGAGCAAGGCCTTGCACTCCAGAGAAAGATGAAGACTCAAAGAGACAACTAGAATATCTAAGGTGTAAACACAAGTCCGGGCAGGTGTGTAGGAAATATTTCCTCCTCTTCTAGAAAGGAAGTTCCCACTTCCTCCACCATCTCCATTGTGTGGTGAGTGAACCCAGAACTAGGTTTTGAATTTTATCAGCTGTTCTTTTTTGGCTTTTGGAAACAGGTTCTATGTAGCCCTGGCTGTACTGGGACTCACTATGTAGATCAGGTGGGCCTCAAAATCACAGAGATTAGCCTATATCTGCCTCCTGAGTGCTCACCTGCTCAAAAATTTGAAGAAAAAAAAAAAAAAAAAAGCAATTAAGTGTCCCTGAACTCTTGGCACTGGCCACTTTCCCGTTTGACTACAAAGTCAATTCACCCGAAGGTTTCTAATTGTAAAATCATGACAGCAATGGTACCATTTGGAAAAACTAGTGACACTATTTTATTTGCTATCAGGATAGAGTATTGGAGCTCTCAGGCAGATCCTTTGCATTCTGCTCTGCCCAGGGCATCGTTATCTTTTTCACACTGTTGGCTAAGTTCCAGAGCTGCCGACTTCTTAGAGAATTACAGAAAATCGGCGAGCTGCAGGTGACTCCATGAGAACGCCAATGACCTGGACTTGGTCAGAAATAAGTGCCTATAAGTTTATAATAAGACTGTACACAGCAGTGCCAACAAGGCTATGTACAAGAGTTCCTTCTACAGAACCCACATGGATGCTCTGAGCAACTGCACCTTAGCTAAGTGCAGTTTATTAGCAGGGGCCACATTAAGTGCTACTAGAATTTACAGTGGTCAGGGGTGGGGATGTGCAAACTCCGCAAAAGAACTCGATTTGCCTCAAGGGAAAGTGATAGTGGTCAGAGGGGCCAGCTCCAAAGGCTGGTCCAGGGGTGGCCTTGGGTCTGGGTAGTCAGCCACATGTCCATTCCGGTGGTGACCATACTCAAACTTGATTCGAAGCTCACCAATCTTGGATTGTGGGAGTATGTCCGGGATCCACTCAATAATAAAGGGTGTTGGCTCCTTTTGATCTGGGGAAGTGTTACCTACAGAGGGAAAAAAGAGAGAGTCCACCTGATTTTCATAAGGACTATTCCTTTCTGTTTTTTGGTTTGTTTTTGAGACAGGGTGCTATGGATGTCCAGGATGTCTTCATACTCAGTGTGTAGTATATAGTAACTCTAGGTCTGGACTGGCAAGATGGTTCAGTGTAAAGGCACTTGGGACACAAACCTGGCAACCTGAGTTCAATCCCCTGAATCTACATAAAGTTGGATGGAAAGACCCAGCTCCAAAGTTGTCCTCTGAGCTCCATATACAAGCTGTGGCACATGAACAACTCTTCCAACTACACACGCACAGACACACACTATAACAAGAAAATTAAGAATAATTTGGGAGCCGGGAGGTGGTAGCACACGCCTTTAATCCCAGAATTTGGGAGGCAGAGGCAGGCGGATCTCTGTGAGTTCGAGGCCAGCCTGGGCTACAGAGTGAGATCCAGGACAGGCACCAAGACTACACAGAGAAACCCTGTCTTGGGGGGGAAAAAAGAGAAAAGAATAATTTAAGTTTTATTGGTTTTGCAGGCTAGACTGACAGCTGGATATGGAATGAAATGACTTCTTTTTTTTTTTTTTTTTTTTTTTTTTTTTTGGTTTTTCGAGACAGGGTTTCTCTGTGTAGCTTTGCGCATTTCCTGGAACTCACTTGGTAGCCCAGGCTGGCCTCGAACTCACAGAGATCCGCCTGGCTCTGCCTCCCGAGTGCTGGGATTAAAGGCGTGCGCCACCAACGCCCGGCCCTTTTGTCAGATAAAGATGGAGAGTTTAGCTGGGCACTACATTGCCAGTAACCCCAGCTCTTGGGAGGCTGAGGCATGTGGATTACAAGTTCAAGTCCACTCTGTAGAAGGCAAACAAAATAGGAAGCCTTTCAGGAGAAAAAGTTCAAACAAACAAACAACAACAACAACAAAAATAGGGGCTGTAATGTAAACGGGCTGGAGAGGTGGTTCTGTAGTTAAGTGTTTACTGTGTTTGCTTTGGCCGTTTCCTAGCAGCCACATTGGCTGGCTCTCAACCACCTTGTAACTCCAGCTCCAAGGGAACTTCTGATGGCAACTGAGCACATAAACACATTTTAAACCTCTGTCAATGGAAGAAGAAAGACAGAGGCCCTAACAGTAATGCACACAGGTACACTCCTCCACTCAGCATTCCGGCTCCACAGGCTACTGATACTCCATGGAGGTAGCCTTTCTGAGCCCACCCCCTCACTGTCAGCTGTCCCCCTCACACTGGCCGGGAAGGAACCACTCCCACGAGGAGTCTGAGGCTGGTGACTGGTTGCAGAGCTCTGTGCATCAGGTACCGTCTGCTATGACTCCACTTCAGTGTCAGTCAAAATAGAAATGCTGAGAGCTCGCCAGGAAGACCACATGTTGACTGGTAGCCTCTGGGGGTTAGTGTGTGACAGGTGGGCTGAATGGTAGGTGGAGGGCACCCCACTGGGCTCCGTTACCAACCCTTTCATTCACAAACGGTGGCCATGTGGGGAGGCTGGAAGAACCCTACCCCTCCCACTTGTGCCCAGGTGGAACTTGTACCAACCGGAGAATAAGCAGCCCCAGTCTCTGTCCTTTTGAAAGTCTCACACACACCGGTACCCACCCATGCAGCAACTAGAAAAGCATGATTAAGGCTGACTAGCAATGGCAGAACATTCAGGAAGGTGAAGTCCACATAAGGAAAGCAATATGGATGAGTAAAAAGAAGAACCTGGAAACCCACATGCTGGGAGTCTGAGTTTTGTAACACATTTTTTTTTTTTTCTTTTCTTTTTTAAGAGTTCTTTTCTGGGGCTGGAGAGGTGGCTCAGAGGTTAAGAGCACTGGCTGCTCTTCCAAAGGTCCTGAGTTCAATTCCCAGCAACCACATGGTGGCTCACAGCCATCTGTAATGAGATCTGGTGCCCTCTTCTGGCCTGCAGGGATACATGCAGGCAGAACACTGTATACATAATAAATAAATCTTATAAAAAAAAAAAAAAAAAAAATAAAAAAAAAAAAAAAGACTGGTTTTCTCTGTGTAGCCCTGGCTGTCCTGGAACTAGTTCTGTAGAACAGGCTGACCTTGAACTCACAGAGATCCACCTACTTCTGCCTCCTGAGTGCTGGGATTAAAGGCGTGTGCCACTATCACCCAGCGATGTTACCAAAATTCTAGTGCAGATATATTTTATTCTATTTAGCTTTAAATAAGAAACTGGACTGGGTTTAGTGGCCTATATCTTTACTCCCAGCATTCTTTCGAGGTAGAGACAGGTGGATCTCTGTGAGCTGGAGGCTAGCCTAACCTATAAACAAGTTCCAGGACAGCAAGTGCTACACAGCGAGACCCCGTCACAAGAGCACTGCAAAAGAAACAGAACAGGGCCAACCAGGTGCCTTAGTGGGTAAGGGCACTTTTCAGGGAGCCTGAGCACCTGAGTTCAATCACCCAGGACCCACATGGTGGAAGGAGAGAACAAACTCTTGCAAGTTGTCCTCTATGTTTGGTAATGCTCTCTACCCCACCCCAAAATACAGTAAATGTAAAGGAAGTAACAAAAACAAAACCAACCCCCCCCCCCACGGGTTAAAGAAAGAAGAAAAGGGAAAGCATCAGAGGAGTCAAAGGAAGAGAATGCTGCTGCTGTAACTATTTAAGAGTTTAGGGCCAGCGAGGCCCTCAAAGAGTGAAGGTGCTTGATGCCACAAGCCCGATACCTGATTCAGGTCCTAGAACCCTCATGTTGGAAGGAGAGGACCAACCCCTCTCTCTGTGCTCACTGTGACATGCACACTCCCCTCCCGAAATAAGTAAATAAACATGTAGCACATGGATGGCTCCCACCCCCAGGCACACAAAATAAGTGAAAAAACAAAAACCAAACCACTGCTGGCTTTATGACATAACTCAGAATAACCAGTGACAGCAGAGCCAGGCGAGAAGAGAAACCAGCAAGAGAGGGTCAGGTTCAAAGACAGAATTCAATCTGTCTGCTTCCACCACACGGTCCAAATTGCTACTATGCCAAAGACTGTGGTACTGCCTAAGTGTCTACACAGACTAATGCCTTTCCCATCAGCAGCAAGAACACAACCAAGTAGGTTTACTTTACACAGTGTCTGTGTAACCGTGGCTGGCCTGGAACCCACAGATCTACCTGCCTCTGCCATCTGAATGCCAGGATTAAAAAGCAAGCCACCACACTTGGCTTAGTAAAAGTTTCTTTTTCTTTTTTTGCTGAAGGGGGGAAGGAGGGTGTTTAAGACAGGGTTTCTCTGTGTATCCCTGGATGTCCTGGAACTCACTCTGTAGACCAGGCTGGCCTTGAACTCACAGAGATCCACCTGCCTCTGTCTCCTCAGTTCTGAGATTAAAGGCATGGGCCTCCACCACCTAGCATAAAAGTTTCTTATATTAAATACTGGACATCAACCAATAACCATCTGGAAGAAAACAGAAGATGGCTGGTATATTAGTAAAATACAGAAGAATAAACTCCAGAGGATCAAACATTTCCATGTGATAAAACATGTAGGCTATAGATTGCTTTTGAAAAATTTAATATCACGGGGCAGGAGAGATGGCTTAGCAGTTACAGAGTATATTGCTCTTTCAGAAGATCTGAGTTTAGTTCTCAGCACTCACACTGGATGGATCACAACCATCTGTAACTCCAGCTCAAAAGGTGTCTCTTCTGGCACCCACGGGTACCCACACACATGGCAAACACACAAACACAAATACATACACATAAAAGTTGCTTTTTTGGCCAGGCAGTGGTGGTGCTCACCTTCAATCCCAGCACTCGGGAGGCAGAGCCAGGCGGATCTCTGTGAGTTTGAAATCTCTATAGAGTGAGATCTAGAACAGGTACCAAATCTACACAGAGAAACCCTGTCTCGAAAAAACCAAAAAAGAAAAGAAAAGAAAAAAAGAAAAAAAAATTCTTTTTTAGAAGGACTGTCGAGATGGCTCAGCAGGTAAAGGTACTTCCCACTAAGCCAGATGACTTGAGTTCAATGCCCAGAACCTACTGGAGAGAACTGATTCCTCTAATCTCCACATACATGCCGTGGCCGATGTATACACACATGCACATAAACACAGATACATAAATGTAAAGAAAAAATTGAAAACTAGCATTGAGTATAAACATGGAGAGTGTTGCAAGATCAAGGGGGAAAGTGGCGAAGGCATGAGTCCATGTTTCAGTTCATGTCTGCCGTAAAGAGTCTAGGCAGACATGCTATCACACCTTTAATCTGAGCACTGGGAAGCAGAGGCAGGCAGGTCTCTCTGAGTTCAAAGCCATCCTAGTCTATGTTAGGTCTCAAACCTGGGGAAAATGGCTGGGGTGCCTATTTAACATATCAAATTGGACCTGGCTGCCAGGTTTTCCCAGCATCTTTCAGTTCCTACCTACATACAGGGTATGGCTAGCATACCCACTCCCTACCCTAAACTTCTCCAGCCCAAGGGCTAGGCTGCTCTTCCCTATATAATCCAGCCATTTTGGTTACCCAGCCCATTCCCTACCCTTTACTCTCCTGGCTTCCCCCACATGGGCCAGCTCAGGGTCATGTTCACTCTGGATTCTACCAAATGTCCTTACCTCTGGTTATGCTCTCCCTTTTACCTACAATAAATCTTCTCCACTATACCTAGGGACAATCATGTCCTACCTTTTTCTTTCTTTTCTTTCTTTCTTTCTTTCTTCTTTTCTTTTTCTTTCTTTTTTTTTTTTTTGGGTTTTTCGAGACAGGGTTTCTCTGTGAAGCTTTGCACCTTTCCTGGAACTCACTTTGTAGACCAGGCTGGCCTCGAACTCACAGAGATCCGCCGGCCTCTGCCTCCCGAGTGCTGTTTATTTCTTTTTTTCATTCAGTCTACATGTTGAGTTTCAGACCAGCCAGGGCTCCACAGTGAGACCCTGGTGGGTCGGGGTGGAGGGAGAGGGGAGGTTTACGTGAAAATAACTGTGACGCTGCTGTGAGGAGGGAGGGCTACAGGGGTTCACTGCTTCTTTCATGATCTGTCCATGGTTCATGTATTCCAGCTGCTGCTCAGAAAGCACCAGCTCAAAAGAGACAAAAGCCTTTTCTCAGGTTCCTACAAAATGAGTGAATGTGCTTTGATTAAGATGAGATCCAGAACTTCTGATGGCACTGAAAACCGGTGACCCTTGGGGGAAATGCTTCTGAAAGTCACTTACCAACTTTGAGGAAGGTTTTCAGCTCCAAAGGTCTCAGCACTGGCTGCTTCTCTATTCGGCCATAGGTTTCTGCTATGCTCTCTACCTCCACTTTAGGGCATTTAAACAGCTCGTAAGTCCCATCCCGGTTCTGGATAAAGCTCCGTGTGATTTCCAGGGGCATCTGGACGCAGAAAGATAACAAACAGAGACATAGAAAACCTGACATACGTGCATCTTGGGTGCCATTAGGTCTCTTAAGATTCTTTTTATCTTTTAAAAATATCAATCTTATTATGTGTATGTGTGTCAATGAAAATAAGGACATGACTGCTCGTATGTATGACTGAGGAGAAGGGTTTGTTGTAGATATGAGGGAGAGAACAGCTACAGCTATCTGTAAGGGTCCAGTCTGAACCAGGCCATGGGAGGAGGGGATGGGGAGTGAGAGAAGAAAAGAAGTTGGTTGGGTGCAAGAGTGCCAAAGAGCACATGGAAATGAAGAGAACCAAGGTCAGAACCAAGAGAGTGTAGCCAAAGTGGACGAGTTATAAGGGAAAGAAACTGGGAGAAGGGAAGCCCAGCCCCTGGCCTACAGAGTCTAGGGTAGGGTCGTGAGAAGTGCTGGGAGGACCCCAGGTTTGTTGGGGGTCTGGCAGTGTGTGTGTGTGCGACTCCCATGTATGTGGGTACCTGAAGAACCCAGAAGGAGGCATGTTGGATTCCCTGGAGCTGGAGTTTGTTACATGGCAGTTGTGAGTGGCCATGTGGGTCCTCGGGAGGCACAACCAGTGCTTATAACCTCTGAGCCATCTCTCAGCCCCATGATATTCTTTTTATTTTAAGTGCAGGCAAATCAATAAACTTCCTTTTGTATTCCATGTATATATATGCCGTATATATGAATATGTGTACAGATATATGCACACCGAGAGTGAGCGAAGGAGGATGAAGGGTTTTCTACTCTATCACTCTGAACCTCAGGACAGGGTCTCTCATTGACCCTGGAGCTAGGCTGGAGGCCATCAAGCCCCAAAAACCTGTTTCCACTTCCCACAGCTGGGGTTACAGGCCTGTGTGGCCATACTCAGCTTTTCTTTTTTTTAAGCATGGGTGCTGAGGATTTGAACTTGAGTCCTTGTGCTCTAATCCACTGAATCATCACACCATCTCCTCTTTGGTATTTTCAAGTAAGTCCTGCCAACACATCTGTGTCTTTCCTTCCATCACCTGTGGTTCTCTCATTGGAATCCCACCGGCAACCCCTGCGTGGCCTGAACCCATCAGACCCCCACACTTAGTAACGGCCGGCACGGGCCTCTGCCTTGCCACAGGCAGCATTCTGCTCCTAATACTCGTGGGCACCTGTCACTCATCTCTCGTCCTGGTACTTCACTGTCCTTGGGTTCAGCCACCTGACTTGAGAATGACCCTGAGCAAATCAGTGACTTCCTTGGGAAAAACACAGTGGATATCAGTGCCACGTGGATGGAGGATGGGCCAGACAACAAAGGACACTCAGGAACAGGTACCCAGGCAGCAGAGCTCTTGCCCCTCACGTGGCCTTGGGGTCTTTGCTGCCTCCCTGACTGCCGTTGTTTTAGGCTAGAAGCTGGACTTAACATTCTCCAAGCGTCTTCAGTGCTACTCTGGGGCTTTTCTAGGGTTCACACATTAAGCTGTGCAGCCTTCAGAACCTTCCCTCTGAACACAGTGATGCTTTCTTGTTAATCTAATCTCACTATGTACCCTGGGAATTAGAGATTTCTGTCTTTGCCTCCCAAGTTCTGGGATTGAAAGTTCATACTTTGAACTACTGTCTCCTCTCCTCCCTCCCCTTCCTCTCTCCTCCCCTGTCCTTTCTCCTCTCCTTTCCTCCTCTCCCCCTTCTCCCCTTCTCCCCTCTCTCCCTCTCCCCCTCTTCCCTCCCTCTCATCCCCAAATTAAAAAAAAAAAAAAAAAAGAAAGTATGAACTACTAAGCCTGCCTAAATTAACCTTCATGTATCAGAGTCACACTATGTTGACTTTTTTGAAACATTTTACTTCTTTTGGATGGGAAAAAACTGTCAAAATTTCAGATCTGCTTCAACAAACTATTTAAAAATGCATAGTGTAGGGCCTGTGAGATGGCTGAGTTGGTAATGGTACCTGGCAAGGCTGACAACCTGAATTCAACCCCAGAACTACTCACAGAGTAGGAAGAAGGGACCAACTCCTACAGACCATCTTCTGACCTCTACATGCACATGTGCGTGTACACA